TTCCTGCTAGTTGGTTCAACAGATCACTGACAATTGAAGCGCATATTAGGTTAAACACGACTATTATCTTGCAGATGGCTCAAAAATGACCACTATTCATAAGAACATATAATTGTATTTCCTGCAGAAGAGGCAAAGAATGCATTCAGATAGGTCTTGCTTATATATTTTAAGAAGGCACTTACCACCCTGATATTACATATTTTTGTAGAATTAGCCAATACAAACAGAGGCTAGGTTTAGAAATCTAATCCGCTGCTGGCAAGCATTCAAAATATGTTCTTTTATTAACACGCACAGCATCCCCCCCATCCTCTCCTCCGCCCTACGGCGGGGTACCGGTGCAGATAGATCAAATTCAGTGTGAACACATCCCCCAGTCTCTTATTTTTTAAAAAAAAGTTTTTCTTTCTCCAAAAATGCACACGCAGTATTTCTGATGGACCGTATTTCTTAGTCATCGTGTTTGCAGTCAAACAAATCCGCAAAAATGCCTCCCTTACGACTATTTGTGGCAATGCAAATCTTTTTAGAACTCCCTTGCGTGGGTGAAGGGAGGCAAAATACAAATTAAGCCGTGAAAGAGACAAATAGGGGAAATATATTCGAGTCGGCCACACAAACCAGTCAACTCACTTTTTGGGGGAGGGAGGTCTCACTAAAAAAGCAAAGAACTGTGGGTGTTTTTTTAAAAAATATTTAGAGGCCTGGTGAGTGCTGGTTGTCCAGTTTAAAAGACCAAACGTCCTTTCGCAACACGAGCTACACACTGTGGCACTGAAATGCCAAGAGAAAGAGCCAGATTCCCAAGCAGGAACTGTGATGCGGTGATTTTTTTGCTCCGGCCTTTCCCGAGGGGCAAGCCAGGGTTTGCAGCTCACCAGCCTGACCTGTCAAGCGGATTATTTTAGAGGGAGATTAATAGGGGAGGCGGGCTGCAATAATAATCGTTTTGTTTGATGTGACAACTTTGATAGGCGTTGATTTACTTACAAACTGATAGGCTTTTAATTGAGCGCCTCCATCCAGCTTGAGATGAAAGGCAAACCGCATTGAAAAGCTGCCCGAGTGCCCGCGAGCCTCAATACTGATTAGCCATCTCGACAGTGAATAGTTCAAGGCATTTTCAAACTTTTCTCTCGCTCCCTTCTCCTCCTCAAATATCTTGCCAGCCCACTCCCTTTTAAGAGAAAATAAATCATTCCCATTGTGTGCAAATAAAATCGACTTGACATCCTTGCCAATCGCTGGTAGGTAAAGGAAAGTGGGGATCGGCGCGCGTTAATTAATTCTCTCCTTGCTCCAGATCTTAGTTTTGTTTTGAAGTGGAGCTTTATAACAAATCCACCACCATTTCAACCCGTAAATGCCAAACGGAAACCCGGCTTCATAGGATCATTAAACACGGAGCCCAGGCAGAGAGAGCGAGGCAGGGTAGAAACTATCTTTCCTGATGCATTAAAACAAACAAGAACGCCACGCCAAAAGCAGGCACGATTCTCATACATTTGCGCGTCTAAGAACGCTCCTAGAACGCTCATCTTTTAACTGTGTGCCGTGCGTTCTGAGCAGCGTAAATGGTTCATCAAGGCTAGGAAAATGGTTCAGGAGGGTTCCCGAGATAGATTTTTTATAAGCTTCTACTTAAAAAAAAAAAGCACCGGAAACTTGCACGTGTAAATGTGATTTACACTGCGCATCAAAGGCACAGCGCTAAACGTGCTGTCTTCTGAAGTTGCTAATTAAACTACCTGCTGTAGCTTCTGTTTGAGATTAAGGGTTTTTTTCTCTCCCCCTCGCTTGTAAACTTTCCCCTCTTTCCGTGTCATCAATACGCCGCTTGTTTTACACATGTACCGGGTTATCACCTTTGATTCCTCGGTTTAAACGTTGTAAGAGGCCCCTCCCGGGCCTTCCTCTACCCCCCACCTCCGCCCCAAAAAGCCTTCCCACCACTGACTCTACCTTAAGACAATTAATCTTTAGTCTTTCACCCTGGGAGGCAGGACAAATACAACGAGAAAACAGATAGGAGTCTCTCTGGTCCTGTAAGGAAAACAGCTGTTCCAAGCACTTTAATGCAAATGAACACAAATGAAGGTTTCAGCTTTTTTTTTATTCCAGAGTTTTACTGCACGCCATTTATCAAATGGACTTGACAACAAAAGAAAGAACCGGGGGGAAAACCCCTTCCCCCCTCTCGGGGGGGGGGGGGGGGGAGGAGAGACCTTACAGTGAAGTTGTGAGTCTTGTGAGTCTTGCTGGAAGGTCAATTTCTGGGGCAAGTCTTCCTTCGCTTTGCCCTCCAGTTTTCGCCCTCGCATAAAATGACCCCGTTTATTTTAACATCTGCCCGGGGGGATGCACGAACAAATGGGCCCTTTCCCCCTTTCAACTCTTAGTATTCACACACACACACACACACACACACACACACACACACACACACCTCTCTCTATCTCCAAAGGACGGCTTTTAACAGAGACCTGCCATATATTTCTGTGACTTCCGAATTGGAAAGGGACTGGTTTAAAGGGAAAAAGACCTGGGAGAAAATGCCAACTGTAGCTACTAATCTAAGAGCACGAACTGACACTATTCTGGGGAGCGGGGACTGGGTTTCAAACATCCAGCAGACGCAACCACGCACACAGCAGTGAGTTCTTTCCGGTTCTTTAACAGAGACCTGCCATATATTTCTGTGACTTCCGAATTGGAAAGGGACTGGTTTAAAGGGAAAAAGACCTGGGAGAAAATGCCAACTGTAGCTACTAATCTAAGAGCACGAACTGACACTATTCTGGGGAGCGGGGACTGGGTTTCAAACATCCAGCAGACGCAACCACGCACACAGCAGTGAGTTCTTTCCGGTTCCCCGTCCCTTTTCCAGGATCAGGCCCCGCTCTAGCTGGAGTCCAGGTCAGGAATTGGACGCGATCTCTCAAGCAGTTGGCTTGTCCTTCGCTTGTCAAACGCGTCGTATCTCCCGAAGTGCCTTTTTGTACATGTTGGAGATGGCGTGGGCCCCCATGTCAGATCCGGATACAAAAGTAAGACATTGATTAACACATTTTGCCTGTGCAAAAAAAAAAAAAAAAAAAGAGTTGGAGGCAGAGGGTTGGAGACTGAGGAGAGAAGCTGAAGGATTTTTGTGGTGGTGTTTTTTAAAGCCAACCCAGAGCACCAAAAAGAAGGGCGAAGTCGAACCAAAACTCTGCTAGCCTATGACCTACCCCCGGGGGCATTTCTCCTGAACAAATAATGGTGACATCTTTAAAGAAGGGCTGAGGAGACAGGTGCGTGTGTGCATACATGGGCGTGCTGCACACACAGGTAGGTGGGTCGGTCGGTAGATTCCAGGCAAACAGACACGTGGGCAGCTCCAGGTCCAGGTTAGCGGAGCTACAAATGGCGAGTCAAGAGGCTGCTATCTAAAGCGAACTCAGGAGCCCAAGAAGCTGTTTAATAACCCAGGCAGGCGACAAGGGGGCTTGCACACACACATACACACAAACATACACCCAGCAGAGCCACCCTCGTTAATTACAGCGGCTCCGCCAAGGTAGATACGGTGGCGTCTCGGAGAAGTCACTCTCCCTTTTGTGGGCATACAAATTGAGTTTACTCGGGGAACGATTTATTCCTTACATCCAAGAAGCTGTTTAATAACCCAGGCAGGCGACAAGGGGGCTTGCACACACACATACACACAAACATACACCCAGCAGAGCCACCCTCGTTAATTACAGCGGCTCCGCCAAGGTAGATACGGTGGCGTCTCGGAGAAGTCACTCTCCCTTTTGTGGGCATACAAATTGAGTTTACTCGGGGAACGATTTATTCCTTACATTGAATGGCTCTTTCTCAAAGAAGCCCGTCTCTCTCCTCCTTCGTTTTCCCCTCCTCTCCCCCCCCCCTTTCTTCCTTCAAGTCACACCAGGCTTGTAATCAGCATTGACAGGGGCTGACAAATAACTGATTGATTGCGGTTGGGGAGCATTGACAATTGATGGAGGGGCGGAGAGACCCAAAAAAGCGAGGGGAGGAGGGCGGCGGGTGCAGCCCTGGGAACATGTGACAGTCACATCCCCCAATCTCTGCCTTGGGTTCCCAGTGTCATCAAAGGCCTGATTGGAGCGCTTCCAGGGGGAGGGCGGACTCTACCAAGTTTCACGTCCAGAACCACTTTGCAAATATGAAGCAGTAGGGAGAAAAATTGCTGCCTACGCCGCCTTTTCCTCCAGGGCCAGGCAGGACATAACCCAACCCGCTCCGCACTAGTCCTCGGTTTACTGGGGCAAGATTACAAAACGTGCCAAGGCTGAAATCACCCTGGGGGAGGGGGGCATAAAGCAACAGCCGCAACATGACGGCCTGGGTGGCTGCAGGCATACGCGGAAAACGCTGTATCAGTGCACTCGCGAAAGGCGGTCAGAGCCTGTGCTGCGGCTCGTAAGGGCGAGCGCGTCTTAAATAGGCGCTGGCTTCGTCCTTGCTTTTTTTTGCACGTCCCGGTCGAAGGGGCTGCGGAGAGCGAGGAGCATGGGGATGTGAAACACAAAATTAACGCCCAGCCAGTCCTAGGAGCAAAAAACCAGAAGGGGAGGGGAGAGCCCATGAAAACCGTAGGGAAGGGGGGGGGGAGGGAAAAAAAAAAAAAAACCCAAGCGCCAGCCCGGGGAACGTCACATCCCCTTGACCCTCCAATCACCTCGGGGTCCCATTTGATTGGAAGGCGGCAAAGGCTTTAATCTCAGCCTCATTCTGCTGCTTTTGAAGTGAGTTGCTTTGCCAGAGCCGGGGCTGGACGCGCAGCGACAGCAGCACAGCTGAGCGGCGGCAGAGGAGGGCGGCGAACGCAGCAGCTGGGGAGCCAGCGAGACGCACGCACCCCCACCCCGGGATTATTGTGCTTCTCCCCCCCCCCCCTTCTCGCCGGGTTCCCCCCGCCTCCGCCAGAGACGTTTTCTGCCTCGGTGTGTTGGGGCGAGTTTGCTGGTTGGGGGGCGTGTGTGGCTCCCCCCCCCCTCCCAAAGAGAGAAGGTTTCCGAGGCTGCCCCGCGCGACTCGCCCCAGTTTTCATGCGAGGTTTTGGGTCATGATCACATCGCCCTCGCTTTCTGCGGTAAGAAGTAGGAAGCTCAGCGGCGGCAGCGGAGACTTTGGCGTCGGCGGAGGCAGCAGCAGCAGCAGCAGCGCCCCAGATCTCGCCTGGCCGAACCGGCACGCTGGGAATACTACGAGCTGCTCCAAGCCTTTCTTCCACCCCGTCCCGCCCTCGGACCCCTTGCGCCAAGCCAAGCGGCTGCCCATCAAAGTCCTGAAAATGCTCACGGCTCGGACGGGACACATTTTGCACCCCGAGTACCTGCAGCCTCTGCCTTCCACCCCCGTGAGCCCCATCGAGGTAAGGAGCCGCAGGCGATGCCTGATTCTCCCCCCGCCCCCGACGACGGTCTCTCTCTCCGCACGGTCACTAAAGGGCAGTCTCCCCGGCCCTTCTGCTCAGTTCAAGGCGGATCCAGCCGGACCTACCTCCCTGCTTTTTTGGGCTGGGGGAGGGGCTGTCACTTTTTTCAGGGAAAGTTTGTGCGTTGCTTTACACCCCTCTTTTTTCGGGGGGCTTCAACTTGAGGGCTGGATTTAGGGCCCCCCAGGTGCGAAATAGGCTTGATTTGGGGAGGGGATGTGGGTGCGGCTGCTCCCAGCTTCCCATGATCTTAGCCTGACTTAGGATGACACCCCACTTGCGATGGGGTATGGGAGGGGGGGGGGTCCGAGTCCAGTTTCTCCGCCTTGGGGTG